CGAGGAACCACTCCCTAAAATTTTTTGCAACATTTACATTTACCTAATTATATTGTGGGAAACAACTACTCTACGGATTAAAGCCCCGTCCAGCATTGAATTACACCTCAAATACCTCGTAAATAGTCAGTAGAATCATCAGATACAGACTGGGTGAGATTTAACCAATTACTACTCACTATTAAAATAATAGTTGTTGCGAAATTAATGCAACAAAATTTGGTCGCAGATTCTTAACACAAATTTAGGATACCCGGCAAGTGGCACCCTCTTTCAGAGTTATAACTCTCTGCAATCCGTCTTAAGAATAGTCTTTTTCTATATCTCACAACTCAAACGAGAATCATTTAGTGGAAGGTAGCTTAAAAATATGCATTATTTCGGAATAATTAGCAGAGCCTTGGATTTTAATAAAACATTTTGCAATGGCTTGAAATGGCTTAAAGAGAAAATTTATAAACTTATATTTGTGCGCTAATTATTATTTAATTGTTTAAACAATAAAAAATGGTTTTTCAACGATTATTTTAAATAAATCAAAAAATTTCAAACCAATTTTAATCAAACTGATACTATAGTAGATGAACGGTCCACCCCTGAAAGATGCTTAGAAAATCAAGGTCACCGACCACGAGAGGCCAGGATGAAACCTTTTGTAATCGATACATTGAGTTATTGCGAACAAAAAACCTAAGTAACATCTTTGTGTCCGAGTGGCAGGTAATTTGTTATTAACAAAAAAATTGCAAAATAAAAATATTGCAAAAAAACGCTCTGCAAATAATTTTGAGAGGTAAATTGGGCAAAAATAAACACTTTTTGTCTCTTGACATTTTTTCGTAGAATGCTTTCTTTTTGAGCTAGGGGCGATTTAAAGTCAAAAAATGGCTAAAAGTTGCCAACTTTAAAAATTCATATCAAAAAATAAATTAATTAAACATTACAAAAAATCTATATATCAAAGGTATTTATTAATACAAAAAAATATATTTACATTTAAATATAAACTTAACTATTTAATAAAAAATCAATTTTCAGTCTACGAATCAGTATCATCAGTTTGTATTTCTGCATTTTGACATTTTATAGAGCAATTGCAAAGATTGCAACATTTGAAGCCTTGTGATAAGCAAGAACAAATGTCTTCATCGCTGCAGGGTAACTTTCCACTGCAGGAACATATGCATTTCCTTGGCCGTATTTTCTTCAAAATAATTGTAGCACAAATACATTATTTTTTAATATCCAGCCATATTGTGTTGGGTCAAAGGATGTTATGCTTGCATGTCTTGCTTGAGACCATTCATTGATTTGCCATTTAACGCGCATAACATGTTGTAACAATACAGGCTGTGCCGGAGGTATTGATGATGGTATTGGTATCATGATAATTCGATATTTACTATACTATCATGTACATACTAGCTATTGGGAATAATAAATATTGTATTAAATAACGAATAGCACAAGAATATTTTTCGAACCTGCAGTTTTATACAACATTGAATATTCACATATGTTGCATGATTGATGACTACAGACTAATAAAGGATTGTTGCACTATGACAGCACAAATGAATATTGTAGAAAATGTATTATTTATTTTTTATACATTATTTGTCAAATGTTCACTGTTATTTCCTGATGCCAGACAATAAACTAATGATCCATGCGACACCCGATTGCTGCAGTCTAATCCATTGCGTTTGTTTAAACAAGTTATAACAAGTAATTCGCATAAGCGCACGTTCGCGAAAACTCGGTTAGTTAATATTTTGGTTGACTATTTATACGTATCCTTTTATAACATTTTATATTCTAGTTCTAAATAATTTTTTGATATAAATATAGTTATATATAGTTATTATTATGAAGCTACATTAATGAAGATACAGTTATAAATATAAATCAATATATTTGTAACGTAATACATATTATTTTCCATTTAAATATGATATTCATATTATTAATCTTATAAATAATTATATGATATACAATATTTGATGAATTTAAAAATATGTATGAGTGTTAGAAATACTAAATAGTAAAAATTGTAACAAGTAATGAATGAATAGCGTTTATTCGATTATATGCCCGACAGCGCTATATCTATATACAGGGTGATCTTGAACTTATCCAAAAAAAAAAAATTCTGGATGTACAGTGGACTCTTACAAATACAATTTTGAAATGAAAAAGTCAAAAAGAGCAATTCGAAAATTATTTAAAAATACACTTCTGCACGGCACTGGAAACTGGTCCACTGTAAAACCTGACCTGGCGCAATGCGACCGTCACGGCAACAGTGATAAAAACGGGCAAAAACTCAAAAGAATTTCGCAAGGAAAAGAATAATAGAATTTTATAGCACCTATTTTATATCAGCAAACCCAACTGATTTTGTTCAAATTCATTTGTGTTTTTAAATAATAAAATAATTTGACATACCTGATGTTACAACAACTGTTCAAATTTTTTCCACCCACGTGTAAACACATTTGGGTCCGTCTTACTCAGTTTTTATGAACTAACACAAATGCTGTCTTGTTTCACCATAACACAAATGCTTCACCATAATAAAAATGTTTTCTTGTTTCACCATAAACTAAAACGATATCCATCAACTCCAAGTTGTTATACACGCACGCCATTTTTGACACTAACTACTAAAAAACTATTCTAAACATCGGATTTCAGTGTTCTGAGATTTTAATCAAATTGATATTATAGGGGTTTTCGAAGTCGCTGAACAAGAATATTATATCAGAAAATAAAAATTCAAGATGGCTGATCCAATATGGCCGACATTTAAAAAAATATATTTAAAAATTACAAATTTCAAAGTAAATTTGGTTAAATAGACATTATAAGGACTTTTGAGGTCGTTGAACAAGAATATTATATGAGAAAATGAAAATTCAAAATGGCTAATCCAATATGGCCGACTTTTTTAAACAATTTATTTAAAATTTACATTTTCAGAACAATTTTACTCATACTGATATTTTTAGGATTTTTCAGGTCATTAAACAAATTTAAAAAGAAATCAACTCGTTAAATTTTAAAGAAATTTGGGTATGATGTTTAGGGTTCTGCAAAAAGTCAATATATGGGATTCTTAATTCAATAACTAATTCAACAAATATTTTTTAAATAAAAAATGAGACGAGAATCAAAAAACACGTAGTAGATATGTTTGGCTTCACAAGGCAAACTGTAAAAGTAAGCCACAAAGCCACTATATTTCCAACATTCTCTCTTCCCTCCGTTAGACACGTAGCATGCGCCAAGTGAGTTCCATTCACCGAGCAGACGTTCTCTTTACCTCTTTCTAATATCCAAAAATATAATTATCGAATCACGAGAATTAATTACATTACCTTAAACCTCTATTACATAATTTCATCATGAAAAAATATAGGTAAAACTGAATCTTGCGATTTATTGAAAAATCGTATTGTTTCGTATTTTATACATTATAGTAACAAAATTTTTTTTCGTTGATTATACTTTTTTAAGATCATAGTTTGAAAATATATTGCTTAAACAAGCAAAAATTTTTTTTTTCAACTTTATTAAATTATATTTAACAACAAATTTCATCGTTTTAGAACAAAACATTTTTTTTATTTGTTTTTATTTAAATTTTATTATAAATTCAACGTTTTAAATAAAAAAAAATTGACCATCTTAAAGAACAGTTTTCAAGCTTCAAAAAATGCTCCTGCAAAGTTGCAATATCATATTTTGAACTAAAGTTATTGGACTTTGAAACGTGACCTAAAAAATCAAATTTACCTTTTTTTAAAATTATTGAATATTTCGAATTATTAATTTTTCGAATTAAAATTTTAATATTTTTTTTTTATCACTCACTATTTTAAATGCTATTTCAATAGTAATCTCTGAAAGTTTTAGATTTTTATCTTAAAAATTAAAAATTGTCAGATCTTTAATTCATTTTGTAGAAAATTCTACCGTTACGTAACTTTATTTTCACACTATTCCTGTAAATATTTTTTTTCGATTTTAAAATCATGATAACTTGTTAGCTACAAGCTTCCTCTTTCATTTAAATTTTTGTGGACTTAATTTGATCAAATAGATCGAAAGTTATAACAAAAGTTGATAGCGCGCGAGGCCGCACGCTCCTTGCGTCCTGCCATGCCGGCGCTTTACATTTTCGTACGATTTAAAAAAGTTCTACAACCTACAGTTTTCATTTTAGAAAATAAAATTATTTATGTTTGTCATGTAAAATTTCGATTAGTTTTTTAAACAAAATTCAGTTTGGTAAGATATACAATAAACAATGAAATTTTGCAACTAATTTGTTAAATAAATAATCAGGCGTACACTCTACGGTTGCTAACTTTTTATATGTTGTTCCTAACACCCACACAAGTGTGTCCTCAAAAGTTACCCGATCTACTAATTTTTCCGAAGTCAATACCTTACTTTACTCCACAAATTTGTTACATAACGGTTTTATGACATGTGGAATCTGATAGTGCTACACTCTACGCTTTTTAGTGGTTTCTCGTGTGCCAAATTTAGTGATTCTCATACAACAGCGTTCTCTATTCTTAAGGGCGGATCTCAAGGAGCTAAAACTCCGAAAGAGGTGACCACTTGGCAAAAATAAAAAATAAGGGTCCCCTAAATTTGTCTTAAGAATCTGTGACCAAATTTTGTTGCATTCATTTCGGGACGCCCTGTTAACACATTTTGTAGGTTATTGTAGGTTATATGGTACAGGTTGTTAAAAAAAACAGCTGAACTCTATGGTAATTTTAGATACTTACCCTTTTTTCTTTTCTGTTTTATTTTATTTTTATATACTTAATCTATACTATGGTATAAACAATACAATGTATTAATATTGTTTCTTATTATTGTATCTATGTTTATTGACTTCTCACACAGAAATTGTAATTTAGTTAAAGATTAAAATCGATTATTGGATAACAATATTTAAAAAAATAAATTATTTATTTTAGGATTAATAGAATCCTTGAATCACCTCGTGGCAGTGCCCTCTTGGTAGGTGTTGGCGGCAGCGGCAAACAATCTTTGGCTAGATTAGCTGCTTTCATATCATCCCTGGAAGTAGCACAAATCCAATTAAAAAAAGGTTACGGAGTAGCTGATCTTAGGCACGAGTTGGCGTCACTTTATTTGAAGAGTGGAATGAAAAACGTGGGCATTATGTTTCTTATGACAGACGCACAAGTTCCTAATGAATATTTTCTGGTGCCAATGAACGATATGCTAGCATCTGGAGAAATTCCAGATATGTTTCCAGATGATGAGATAGAGAATATAATCGCTGGTGTCAGGAACGAAGTAAAGGGTGCAGGCATATTGGACACTAGAGAGAATTGTTGGAAATTCTTCATAGATCGGGTTCGGAGGCAGTTCAAGTTGGTACTGTGTTTTTCTCCTGTTGGATCAACGCTGAGGGTGAGATCTAGGAAATTTCCTGCTATAATTAACAATACGCAAACAAACTGGTTTCATGAATGGCCTCAAGATGCCCTTGTTTCTGTGGCGGCAAGATTTCTTCAAGAACTTGACGTTTTACCGGTAACTAAATATTTTATATATTTGATGTGTTTATACATACTTTTTTTAAAATCTGAATATGAAGAAATATTACAATTTTACAAAAAATTCCAGATCTTTTAAATACCGATTAGTAATAATAATTTTAAATAATTTTTTTATTCTAAAGGTATGCTTCAATTTCATGAAATTAATTATCTACTCCTTGATACCAAATATCTAGATAAGCTAAACTATACATATACTTAGACAAGTTAGTCTCTATAGAAATTTAAAATAAACAATAATCTTCCAATTTTTGTTAGTGTAATGAATATGAAAAGTTAACTCATCTTCTTGTGTGTAATCAGTAATCATTATAACGTCAGTTTGATAACACGCACCTTGTTGCCTTTTATTTTTAATATACAGGGTGTACCGAAGTTAGGGGGCAATATTTCTACAGGGTGTTCTATGTCGAAAAAGATTTACTTTTTCTTTATATAAACGTGGGTCCAAAAATTCTTCATAAGGAAGTTATAACCACTTAAAAGGGCCACTCTGATGATGGTTAAGATAAATTTATAGAATTTGGTAAATAAATTTCACTTTTAATTCTTAGATTAAAAGTGTTAATCAAATTTTAATTTATAAAAATTTATTCAACGATATTTACAATAATTTTTGTTTATCTACATTGATATTAAATACACAGTTTGAATAAGTATTAAAATTAAATAAACCACTGAAACTGCCACTACCCACATTCTTGGAGCAATTCTTAAAGCAGTCCAGCTTCAAACATTTTTCCACTTCTTGCGAGACGGCACACTATGTATCATTTTTGTTTGTTTGTACAAAAATCAAGTATCTTGACTCAGAGAGTAGATAAAAATATGAGCCTGGCTGCAAATGAAAGCTGAATGGATGTAGAATATGGAAAAAATATGACTGAGACGATTTTTTTTTTCTATATGACCTCCGAATGACTAGGCAAAGTCTATGCAACCCAAAAATTTTATGGATTTTTCTAATTATATCGGTCCTAATTCTCTTAAAATTTATTCCAATGCACATGATTTTGCACAATTTGGCACGGCAATTCCAAATCTGGCGTCAAAAATTTTCTATCATTTTTCTAACGCCTCCAAAGTCGGTATTATTTTTAAACTGCTTTTTGACACTTAAGCAAGAAAATTATTCACAAATTAAAGATTAATTATTAACCTGGATTTCTGTTTTTTATTTTACAAATAAATGTCAAATAAACACACTATAGAAGGTAAGCAGTGACTTATAGATAATTTTTTTTTTATTAACGACGAAAAAAAAATTCAAAATTGATAAAAATATAATAATTACTATAATTTAAATACACGGTCGATAGCCGCACGGTTTAAGGCGTCAGTACTTAAATCGATGTGTCGATCTGCCCGGGTTTCGAATCCCGCAGCAGGTAGACCGTAGATTAGCTATGCTTGTACGGAGGATTGGCACCCTCTGTACAGGTATGGTAGGGTGGAAGAATGTTGGCTTGGATCAATGTGAGAGATTGACACCGGTTGGCATTTGACCACCCCCCTAATTAATGAGGTTTTCCAGGTTTCCCTCATTCCTGCACTGAATGATGGTTAGGGCCTACCAACAGAAGTCGTTCCTGTGCGCAATTGCGGCCTGCTTAATAATAATATGCAGTCTCCTCTCCCGCACAAGTCTCCGACTTCTGGGCTAATTCTCGTAGTTAGAATGAGGAGTAGAGATATTATTATTATAAATAACTGATGTGTCCGATGAATAACTGTCTCCTTCAAATTCTTCGCTATCTTCTCTTATTTCTGTAGTTTCGACAGTTTCAATGTATGGTTTAATATCAACTGTGCCTTTTTTTAATTGATAAAATTTCAGACGATTTTTAAACAATATCAATGATATCTTGGTATCCGAAAGGTATACAGCTCGATTGAATGTATCCAGTAATCAATTTTTTCGACTATTTTGACGGACACGTGATTTCATATTTTTTCTATATAACTTGTGCCACGACTCAATTGCATCTTCCGAATAATATGCAATAGAAACCGGAAACTGCTCAACTATTTCACAACCATGCATCAGCAGTTTATGTAAACTTGGATTCATTCTTGCCCAAGGAAACAAATCATAATGTAACCAATAAGTTTCCAAACAATAGTCTTCAAGCTTCTCCAGTTTCAAAATTCTTTTGCTTTTGAAAACTGCCAAGATTACTGCAATATTTTTCACTAGTACTGAGTTTATACCTAATGCTTCTGCAAAGAGGGAATGATGATTAAAGATTCACTTATTTATTTTAAGCAGAGTGGTTATACCCATCAATTGTATAGATTGTATCTATCAATTTTGATTTTTTTTCGTCGTTAATAAAAAAAAAATGTATCTATAAGTCACTGCTTACCTTCTACAGTGTGTTTATTTGACATTTATTTGTAAAATAAAAAACAGAAACCCAGGTTGATAATTAATATTTAATTTGTGAATTATTTTCTTGCTTAAAAGTGTCAAAAAGCAGATTGAAAATAATACCGACTTTGGAGAGACTTTGCTAGCGTTAGAAAAATGGTAGAAAATTTTTGACGCCAGATTTGGAATTGCCGTGCCAAATTGTGCAAAATCATGTGCATTGGAATAAATTTTAAGAGAATTAGGACCGATATAATTAGAAAAATCCATAAAATTTTTGGGTTGCATACACTTTGCCTAGTAATTCGAAGGTCATATAGAAAAAAAATCGTCTCAGTCATATTTTTTCCATATTCTACATTCATTCAGCTTTCATTTGCAACCAGGCTCATATTTTTATCTACTCTCTGAGTCAAGATATTTGATTTTTGTACAAACAAACAAAAATGATACATCGTGCGGCAGGCACTGACTTTATGAATACCGACTACTATTCGATGACACTTTCCACTAACACATAGGAGAAATAATCGACATTTTACCAATCCGGGTGGACGTAAAGCAATATATTTTCTATAAAAACTTATATATAATAATAATTGTCTTCCAGCACAGTAAAAGGAAGTGGTCTCTTTGTTTTGGTCTTTTTATAATTAAGGGGGATTTCACATCTTCAACATTATCAATTGTTAAATTCACTAATTCATCAGAACGGCATGCGCCTGCAACCCTCACCTATTAGGACGACCTATAAAGAAGCTTTTTAAAAAGCGTTTACCTTCATCATCAAATATAAATTATCAGGTACACTATTCAAAAAGCAATCAACTTGCTCCTTTGTAAATATTCGTGATTTTTTCGGTATATATCCCTCATTTTGTCTCTTGAGAAACGCACGTAACTTTGAATATTTGCTTATATCAATCCCCTCCTTGATATCCAGCGTCTACCGCAACACTGAATATTGCGACCGAAGCGTTGATGACTTCATTTTATTAGGTAAGTTTGAGAAATACACCATCAATACATCTTCTGAATACAACTTAATGTTTTTTCTTTGCACCAATTCATAAAACGTTGGTAGACACATTCATCAATTTCTCGAGATTTCTTTGGGAGAAGATTCAAAGAAACCTCTTTCGCACACTTCAGTATCTCCTCAGGTACACCTAAATATTCATTAGATTTCATTTTTACAGAATTTTCAGCAAATTGACCACAATCACAAATGAACTCTATTAGCAATATGGCGACTAGTGTTTGACAAAGTATCCATGACTACATCGATATATCCTACTTACCTACTTTGCTTTGTTATCCAAATTTGGTTTGAATAATTTCAAAGCACAAATTAATAATTAAGTGGGGGTTTCGGTTAGAGAAAAAATTGCATGTTTTGCTCGCCACAGAAGTGACAATTTTAATCTAATATAACAATATACTATTTAATTATATATTCAATAATTATTTATTACTGCTATTTACAGTAGTTGTTTAGTTTCAATATCAACAATTAGGAAAATTTTCTGTCTAGTTAGATATATTTTGCATACCTTCTTGGTATCGAGGAACATTTTTTGAATTTGTTGGAATTAGCCTAATACCATACCCACAGGTGATATAATATGTAATAATTAAGATATACACGAAAGTGAGATAAATAAGAAAAGGAAATAATGTCATAAAGATTTCAAATAATATTTATTGATTTTCATTAGTATCATATGGGTTGTTGTATTTTTACGTAGTGAAGTGTATTTGTAACTGTAATAAATGAATTTGCAACTTGGACTTACTTTTTAACTCTTTATTGTTCGAGGAATCTAGGATGTATACAGGGTGGTCCGAATTTTATGCAGGAAACTTCGAGGGTAGATAGATCTCTTTAAAATAGTAGGTGTTTGCCTTATAAACATAGGTCTGGAACGGCCTCGTTTTAGAGATACAGGGTGTCGAAGTTGTTAAAAAAAAATTGATTTTTTGCTTATATCTCCGGAATCTATTAACCGATTTCAATAAAATTTAGTACAGATAATGTATGATAGTAGGCCTTGTATTTCCTAAAATATGAGCTCTAAAGGTTTAACCAGTGGTGTACAACTGGACAAGGTCAACCCCTTTTTTTATAAAAAAAACTTACACCACTGTATTTTTTACACGCTATTGAAACATATTTATATTATATTGCACAAAATACGTAAAAAAGGTAACTTGAATTTTTTCCTTAAAGTTCGCCGTTCTCAAGTTATTCATACCAACACAATCCCCTTGTAGCAGACACTTCTAACCATAATATTATAAGAATATTTATGTTTATGTTTAAAAGTAAGTGCAACTTGTAAGCATATCACAAAATTCTTTACACTCGTCGCTTTCATCTTTTTGGATTAAAACGATATTTGGAAAATCACGACGGAACAATGAAAGGCACAGAAATGAAGTTTTAAGAGTATTTTGGACCTTTCTTTTTGCCACCGCATTTAAATTCCCAGCCATTTCTAAACTTTCTAGAAAACCATCTATATGAATTATTAGAGAATGTACCATTAAATATACGACAAAATACTGGATACAAATGGATGGTGCTCCTTGATAATACAGAAGATCAAATGCCAATGTCAACCATAATGGTGGACAGGGTCCAGTGTCTTGGATTTCTGTGTTTGGGATTACCTATCTGAAAAGTAAAGTTTACTCAAATAGATACTAGACTACAACTACTATAGCGAATAGAACGCAGGTGTAATGAATTAAAAGAAAACCATCACATGGTATTAGCTTCAATTAGTTCCATTAATAAAAGATGTCAGAAATGTATGGATGTGGGTGGTTCACATTTTGAACAATTGCTGTAAATACGTAACGTTAATTTCGTTTCTTGTTTAGTTGTTACTTGGTAAATGTATTTTTATTATTATTTTGATAAATTGTTTTTATTTGTAAAGAGGGGAAACTAAAACACCAGGAACACTACCTCACAGGTCATATGGAAAGAATTTTGTTGATGTGCTTACAAATTGTTCTTACTTTTAAGCATAAACATAAATATGCTTGTAATATTATGGTTTGAAGTGTCCACCACAAGGGGATTGTATTGGTATGAATAACTTGAAAATGGTGAATCTTAGGGAAAAAATTCAAGTTACCTTTTTTTACGTATTTAGTGCATTAGAATATAAATCCGATGCAGTAACTTGTAAAAAATACAATGGCGTAGGTTTTTTTTTAATAAAAAGGGGGTGACCCCTGTCCAGTTGTACACTACTGGTTGAACCTTTAGGGCTCATATTTTGGGGAATATAAGTTCTTCTATCATACATTATCTATATCAAATTTTATTGAAATCGGTTAATAGATTCCGGAGATACAAATAGAAAATCAATTTTTTTTAACAACTCAACACCCTGTATCTCTAAAACGAGGCCGTTCCAGACCTATGTTTATAAGGCAAACTCCTATTATTTTAAAGAGATCTATTTGTCCTCGAAGTTTCCTGCATAAAAATCGGACAACCCTGTATACATCGCGACATTATATTACCACTCCCATTTTCTTTTTTACATGCCCTGTCCCCACACTGTAAAACTAAAACCCCTACTTTCCTAATTGGCGACTTTCTGGCGCGTATTTTGAATTGTCTATTATCAGCATATCTGTATGTAACATAGGTAAATACATATGTTTTGTTATGGAATCAAAGGGTAGATATAACTACATTTCATGAGACTGGAAATGAAGATGTTAAGAATTAATTTGAATTAGCTTAAAAAGTCTGTAATTCCTAGTTAACGTAAAGTCATATATTAGTTTAAAAGATTTTTTAGTTATTATTGAGATTTTGAGCTTAGCAACTCAACTGGCGAACTTGCAATTAGACAAATTACTGTAAAATAATTATTTTAGGAAGAATTACGAGACTCTTCTGCCAGATTTATGGCATTTGCCCACACATCCGTCAATACAATATCAAAGATGTATCTCCAAAACGAAAGGAGGTATAACTACACTACTCCAAAATCGTATTTGGAGCAAATAAACTTATACTCCAAACTGCTTTGTCAAAAATCCGAAGAACTTGATTCTAAAGTTAAACGATTGGAGAACGGTTTAGAAAAGTTAGAAAGCACATCGAAACAAGTGGATGAACTAAAAAAGAAGTTAGCCATCCAAGAGATTGAGCTTAAAGAGAAAAACGATGCAGCAGATCATTTGATACAAATCGTAGGTATAGAAACGGAAAAGGTTTCCATAGAAAAAAACTTAGCAGATGAAGAAGAGGCTAGAGTTGCCATGATTGCAGACGAAGTGAGTAAGAAACAAAAGGATTGTGAAGAGGATCTGATGAAAGCGGAACCCGCCCTGTTAGCTGCCCAGGAAGCACTTAATACGTTAAACAAAGCAAATTTAACGGAATTAAAGTCTTTCGGATCCCCACCAGGTAATTTTCAGTCAAGTATTAGCAGTCAAACCCTAACAGTCGATAGAAGGTTTTTTTCTAAGAAAAAGGTTCAATAAACATAGTTTGCAGAAGTTTACGTCTTAGAAAAACAGAATGTTGGTGATATAACAAAATAATTCACATTTCTTCAAATAATTTTTGAAGTTTAACAACAACAACAACCATGACAACGACAACAACATTTTTTTGCAAAAAACCGTATTAAATGATCGTAACCAATATATAGTTTAAAAATAGTAAAACAAACACTTTTTCCGGAAAGAGTGAATAATACATGAACATTAAACGTTTCAGGAATGTAATGCAATTCTGTCATCCTGCGAGAATTTTCTTTAACCCAAAATAAATATTTTCTAGTTGGATAACATTGTCTAACCTTTGCATAATTTCTTCACAAATCGTGATCGCATTCTGTCTCCGTAACCAACCATCTGTATAATTATTATTTTATGCATTTATCTAAAGAAATTGCAGTTAGCAAATCTCAAACAATACGCAAAACACTGACAACTATTTCAACTAAATAGCAAGTAGCTACGGCGTTTTCAATAAAACTGGTAATGCCAGCTATGAAGAATTTTGATAAGTTTTTGTCTTCTTTTTAGTTGATAATGTTGAAACAGAACACTGAAATATTGTTTTTTCTAGCCTGCAAAAACAATACGCTGTAAGTTTTTGTTTTTGTATGTTGTAACCAATTTCATGAAGCAGACCGTTAATTTTTGCAACATATATTAAAGCAATAACTTTTTTTAATAGAGAATGGAAAGACCTTTCAAATGAGATATCACAAGCTCCCACTTCCCGTTTAAAAATTTAGGGGTTGCAACTATCACTCGAAGGGGTTGAATTAGGGATGAAATTTTAACGTTGTAGGATGTCATTTCAGAATCCAAAATCGACGTGTCTCGGATTTTTTTTATAAATATGCACAATAATTGAGATACTGAATTTATTCCATTTGGCTATTCCACACTATAGTTACTGAATGTCTTTCAAAAAATGATGGTATACTTTAGTACATTTTAATTTTTTTACGACAAATAAACGCATGCATAAACTAAGGTTTTGTTGAATATTTATTATGTTTTTATTGTGTTATGTGTTTTTATTGTAGGTAATAGACATTTCTTTTGTTATTTTCATTTGAATTCTGTTTTAAATTAACTAAAGATTTAAAAAAAAATATCAGTGCATCATTAGCAAAATTAAATTATCGAATTAATTATAGAAATTTTCATGAATTATTCATTACAAACTTCTTCACATTATAGATTCTTAATTAAATTATATTTCTTCTCTTATGATAGCTTTCTCGGTGATCCTTTATACGTTGTCGAAAATTCCTATTACAGTATCCTAAAGCCGGCTAAACATGACTTATCTAAATATTTTAATACAAGTTGGTACGACACTGACCCATTCAAAAAATAAAAATACTTATCCAGCATATTCAGAATAAGGTCCAACACTTGAAGTACAATTTTCAGACTACAATTACGGTTTTGATTTTCTTTCCGTAAAGAAAAACGAATCCAAAGTATTCGTTCAAAATTTTGTATGATGATATTTGGAACGACGAAAATCAGTGGTAGCTGAAATTTTGTCAATTAGGCTGTATGTATAAAATATTAATGATAGTATACCCCTTCTTATTCGACATACTGATGATTTTTAGGGGCAGTCACTAACGTAACAGCGGCTGTCATGGTCCTTTTGGCCCCAGGGGGGAAAATTCCGAAGGACAGAAGCTGGAAAGCAGCAAAAATCGTCATGGCTAAAGTCGACACATTTTTGGATTCATTGATCAATTATGATAAAGAAAACATTCACCCAGAGGTAATCAAGGCTATAGAACCGTATTTAAAAGATGCTGAGTTCGAACCTGAATTTGTCAGATCCAAATCGGCTGCAGCGGCAGGTCTTTGCGCTTGGGTCATTAACATTATAAAGTTTTACGAAGTATTCTGTGATGTAGAACCTAAGAGAAAAGCATTGGCCGCAGCTAATGCTGAACTGGCAGCTGCACAAGAAAAACTAAATTCCATTAAAAAGAAAGTTGCGGTAAGTACAGTATTTATTATATATGTATAAGGTGACGCGGACCAACATTGACATAGGGTTAACATTGACAATTTTTTTTTCAAATTCGCGCGTGTTTATCTTATTTACCGCGCAAATGTACCGGGAAGGAGGCCATGAATAAACTACATATTTCGCCACCTAGCGGCCACATTTGAAAATCCAACTCAACGTAAACACACCCCTTAAGGCAGGTTTACACGCTACAATAAATGCTAGCAATTTATCGTAACAATCGAATCGTTACGATTTATCGTTGGGTGTAAATAGGAAATTGTAGCGATTTATTGGAATGGGAGTTGGGTTGGATGGTTGATGCCGGCCGGGATCAATTTCTGCGAATCGTAACGACATGTTTGAACGTGTAAACAAGTAGCCGGCATTTCTCGCTACAATTTCACTCAGTTTGCATTTGCAATTCATCAGATATAGTCCGGTGATTGTTTTTGGCTGACCTTAACAACTCAACATAAGTCTCTTCGTCCATTCTCAAATAATTTCGCCAGTCATTCGGTTCATTTCTCAATTCTTTCATTAACTTCACATGAGAAAATTCTCTTCTCTTTAGTAACCACTCGCGGCTCCACTTTGTTATCTGTTTTTGCGCTTTTTTCACTTTTCTCGCTAAACAACCGATGTACAACGACAACAACACTACTTCCTCCATGGCAAAAGTTTTTTTGAGGTCGATAGCTGTTAACAACGAAATATGGAAGGAAATCGTTCCGATTTATCGTTAACGTGGAAACAGTACTCCACTCTTTCGATTTATTGCAGCAATAAATTTGTCACACATCGTTACGATTTCTCGTAGCGTGTAAACCGGCCTTTACCGCGCCAGTGAGTTTCTGTTTCGCGTGCACGGTTGAACTTTGGCTGTGAAAACTTTATGTTTACTGCCTACTGTGGCCGTGTTTGATATAGCAAAAAGGTAATTATGCACTTCAATAATATTTCCGTGATAAATAACTAAAAAAACCAAATTTGTTTTGAAGTAACATTTGCAATTTAGTTTTCAGTTATTTAAGGTTAAGTGTGTCACTGTCAATCTTTGCCCATCCGAAAACATTGACTCTGTCAATCTCACCCTTTAGTAAACATTGACATTGTAATAAATATTTATCTAATAATATCATTTCTTAAAATGCCAAGAAAAACTTATAAAAATGAAGACATGATAAAAGCCGTTGACGAGGTTAAGAGTGGAATTTCCTTCAAACGAGTTGCTCAAAGATTTGGTATCAATCGTATAACTGTAATGAATCATGTAAAGGGATGGAAATGTAATAAGTTAAAGTTAATAAAGTAACAAGGGAAGAGGAACTCGTTTATTATTTGATTAAACTGGGAGAATGGGGTTACGGCTTTGATAGGCGACAATTGAAAAGGTGTGTTGTGGAATACTACCGAAGAATGGATCGACCAAATCCATTTCAAGATGGAACTCCTGGGGCTGATTGGTGCCAAATGTTTGAGTTACGCTGGAAAAATGAAATCAGTCGTAGAGTCGCACAAAATGTACCTAAAAATGGAGCTACTGCTGGAACACCTGATGTTATGGAGGATTTTTTATAATAAATTGGATATAATAATGACTACATTTAATTTAAAACTTAAACCTCAGAATATCTATAATTGTGATGAGACTGGCTCCCAAACGGATGCTGGGCAACGTGGAAGTAGAAATCCCACAAAGTTGGTCGGCAGTGTAACAAAGGCTTCATATACGGTTCTAATGTGCTGTAACGCAGTTGGTGACTTTGTTCCCATGTTCATTAATTATAAGGGGTTACACCTTTAGTCAACATGGTGCAATGATGGTCCGGAAGGTGCTCGATATAATTGTTCTCCATCTGGGTGGATGGAATCTGCTTAATTTTTAGACTGGTTTTTAAGGTGTTTCATTCCATACACTTCTTCGGAGCCGAACGTAGTAATGCGAAGCAGAAGTAAGAAGACTGAAGATGGTAAATGAGATTTTACCGAAACGTTGTCAAACAAATGGTTCTTTTGAGGACCATGCAGATTCATCGCGGAAAGGAACTCGGAGAAATTCCACAACCACATATAACACCCGCGGAATATATATAGGGTGTTTAAGAAGCACTTGTACAAACTTTAAAGGGTGAACCTTTCACTAATTTTAAGGTAAAAATTTCGTGTGAACATGGGTCCGCAACGGTTTCGTTCTGGAGATATAGAGTCCAAAAAATGTTTATTTGGTATTTTCCTTATAGTTTTGTTTAACATGGCAATTTGACGCAATTCGGGAAACAGAGTATTGATGTTGAGAATCTCAAATATTTACTTAGTTTTTTGTTTAATGTTAGAGAGCGCCACATACAGTGTTGTACCTGGATTTAAATAACCATCTCTTTTTTGTGTCGCACTTTTGACTAAACATACATATTCACCATTCAATTTTACGTACAAAGGGGACTTTTAGTATTTGTCGCTGAAAGTAGCCGTTTTGTAAAAAAAACTGGTTTAAAGTTAAACCTGCTTTGGAATTTTGTAAGTCGAATCACTAATCAACAATAGTTTTTGAAAAATAAGCTAAAAAGAGTCATGTCACTATAACTTTACAAATTATACAAATTACTATCACCAAATTAGTGAAAATTAGAAAAAAATAAAAACTCGCATAAAGCATCCTGCATTTTTCCTCCGCAGCAGCAGTACATAAGACAACAGTAGGTACATGCATAGCTAGCCATGGTTTCCATGACAGCAGAATCAGTCAAGATGAACGTATCTGGCACGATTTCCTCAACGGGAGGTTCCACACGTCCACACTTTTATTAATATTCACGCAAGACTTTGTTAAACTGACAGTTTTAAAAGGACAACAGATAATAGGAAGGCCTGCGACAGTTCGAACAGTTGAGATTGAAGAAGCTGTGTTAAGTAAAATTGAAGAATACTCGCAAATTATTTCACGGAAAATTGTTTGTGAATAGATTACACACACAATTGTGTGGCAAATTTTAAGATCTCAACAACTTTATCTTTACCACATGCAACATGTGCAGGCGCTATTCCTAGAGATTTTCCCCTCAAAGTAGATTTATGCATTTGGTTGCGTAATAGATTTATTAAGAACCTCGGAACCAAAATGTCATCATTATCTTTCTCAATAACCATATCTCGACTGAGAATAATCCCAATGATATCATAGAAAATTATTTTGAAGTACACCTTTCCCTAAATATTTGGGTTGGATTTATCAGTGATCACCTTATTGGACCTTTTATTCTTCCATATTTTATATGGGGTCACTTGAAGTCACTAATTTACAAAACTCCAGTCCAAAATGAACAAGATCTAAGAAACAAGATATTTAAATCGTGTGTCATTATTAATCAGATACCAGGTATATTCGAAATAGTTCGTCAATCAATGTTAAGGCGAACTGATGCATGCGTTGCAGTAGGCGGTAGTCATTTTCAGTAATTATTTCTTCACTTGTTTAAAAAACTCTTAATGAATCAACTTCCAAAATTCCAACGCAGATTTAACTTTAAACCCGTTTTTTGCAACCTAACCTGGGTTAGGTTGCAAAAAACGCTCTAAGGGCGGGCAATCCGGACATTTGTCCGGAGCGTCATTTGTCTGGGGGGCCAAAATTTGGGAGCATTTTGGCTGTAAGTGTAACTAAAATATTGATTTGTTTAAACCCAATTAATAGAAAATTTCACTATCGTTCGTTAAAAATTTACAGTGCATAGCGAATTTATACTGTACATAACTTTTTAAAGCTGCCATAAGACTCTGTACACCTTGCTGCCGGCTAACCGGATCCGGTTAGCCGGTTCCGGCATGTGTGCAACGGGTGTAATAATTAGCTATGGCAGTGGCTTCTGGTTGACAGATAAATTTTTTACCTATACACCGTGTCCACCTAGTGCGCGTAAGTCCAATATCTAGGTTAATAAAAGATATAACTTAATTTTTTTTTCTACATAGTTGCCTACTTTCCCGAGCTGCACAAAATGAAAATATATTTGCATATACAGGGTGTTCATTTTTTCCTGGGCAGGTACCAACTTAATTTTTTTTAATGGAAACCTATATTTTTACGGCATTATCAAATTTTACGTGAAAAATTAACGGGACTTTGTGTTATGATCCCTATTAAAATATTGATAGTTTTCGAGATAATCGACATTTAATTTTTTTTTCTTGTGTTTCGTCACTTCTAGTAGTGGACATGATTATGATTGTATGACAGCTATATTTTTCCCGGTATTTTACATAAAAATGTTTTTATTTTTGTAAAAACTACGCAACTTAGGTATAAGGAAAGCTATTAAAAAATTGTAGGGTCTACAGAAAGGCATCTAATGAAATCAGAAAACACAGGATCTTCTATTTGAAAAAGTCGAGATTTTTCAAATTTTAAATTATCAGGTTTTGCACGATTTTTTTGCCTCCTGTATATCGCAGGTCAACTTTTGATACGTTTTTTGAAAGAGCCAACTTCACTCTACAGTTCCTGAAAAAAAATAATTTCTAGCTGTCATACAATCATAAGACCAAATGTTTTTATTCCTTGGGTGAGTTTTTTGCTTCCTAGGTTAAGGAGGTTTATCGGGTAAGGAGATACGTCTAAAGTCTAACGAAAGTTTCTGTAGATTCTCTAGTGACTAAAGTAGTAAGCCTTTAGATTTGGCAACATTGCACTTGGATGGCGCGCTCGGCTTGGCGTTCGCTCGCTCCCGTTCGATCATTCTGTTTGTTTGGACACCTGCGAATTTCAAATAATACGCTACGTCGAGACCGCGGCGTTGCCGCTATAGGCATATGGAGGATAAGTTAGTCAACGACAGCAGTTTGAAGATGAATTATTATCAATTAATAATAATA